ACTGCACCAAATGGGAGCAATGGAAATGTAATTTCTGTTCTTTTTATTGGTTTTGAACTTTTTAAAGCTAGTAATTTCATATACCTTTTTTATTCAGGATCGTCCTTGGCCAAATATGGTCGTGGAAGTAGCCTACACTGAAACATAAGATCACATCGAAGAAGCTTTGAACTATTGGTTGAGTCCTGGCCGCGACCACGATTGTATTATTGTAAAAATCGATCCGGTTCCTCAAGACCAAGTACCGGTGTAAGCTATACTTATCCAGTGTAACAATCATATAATATTCTGAAAATTCTAATTCATTCTAGGCTCATCACTGTGTCTCAGCAGGCAGAGGAACGAGAAATAGACCTCCTCTTGTAACTGAGGTAATGTTAAACTATAGTGATCGCTTTTCTGTTAATACTAAAAATATTTAATGTATGTACAATGATTATTAGTTTGAATTTGGAACCCAAGATAGCACGGGAACTACATTAAATATTGTACAAGGTCAACATGATTTTAAACAACCTGATCCTCCTGCGCCTACTTTTATTTTGTTCAGCAAGGTATTAGAAGAATGTTTGACTATTAGAGGAATACTCACAATATTGTAGCCTCTGTTTTGCATGAATCTGCTTGGATTTATCTTTAATTACTAGGCATTTTTTTACCTACTGCTAAATTTCGTTATCAATAACTGGAAAATGTATGCACTATGCTACTTCATCCATAATATCCAAGATGAACACAAATCTATGATGTGATTTTTTACTCTGATTTTGAGCACATTAAAAAAATAATTACACGATGAGACCCAATTCTCGAAGATACTCTGGAATAATTACATATGGGTCTTCGTAATATCAAACATACCTTAAAACAATCCAGTTTTCTTCGCACAATTCTTTCTTGAGTTCATCCCGCTCTTGCTGTTTGATAAAATTATTGGGATCGCCTCCATGAAAGAATTCGTGATATTTTTCGTGTTTTATGCCTTGTACTTCGATTGCAAATCCATATTGTGGATAAAATATACCAAGTTCTAGTCTGTTTAAATGTTT